AGCACTTTGTAAGTGATTCACATCCTTTCTCTGAAATATTCATCCACCCCTTGGCAAAGCAAATGTTTCACAATGAAACAGATCATTTTATCAGTTTATCAGTTGATGTACACATCCTAAGGCCTTGATAACACCCAGTACACTACACCTAACTTGAACATACAGACATAGACCAAGAAATGGTTGTTAGGTGTGTATTTTCTCATATACTTCAAGATATGTAATATTTATCATATATAGTACACCTTTGTAGTCTGTATTATTTCTCATATATAACACACCTTTGTCGTCTGTACATCTATATTGTCTGTGTGATGTCTATAAAACACATGATATTTCAAAGGTTACAATACACCAAAAATGACATTTTATAGTTGGTATTACATTACCATATGATTAATGAAAAATTGTCTGAAATCAGTTTTTCAAGACAAATCTTTCCTAATCAAGCCTAGAAACAATTATTTTATTTTGTTGGTCTTCAAGGTTTGTTTTTCGTCACATGCATAAGAATTTTGGATTAACATGGTAATAATGCAGCTATTATGCAAACAATTCTTTCCTATTGGTCTGAATGGATGCAGTATATGGATATTGTAAAGGATAATAGGTTCATGCCAAGAAACATACAATTTGTTTGTATTAGCCCTTTAGCTGTATTTGATGTGATTAGTGAAAAGGTGCATAGGATACAGGCATGTCGTATGAAATTTGTCTTCCTCATACTTCATATTTGGGGGCAGTGTATTGGCAATATTTGCTTACTATAATTTTAAAAAAGATACAAGAAAAATAACCAACTTTTTAAAAAACTTTGAGGAAACAAGTAACTTAGTCTTCTTGTCCTTCTAGTGTGTCTGCTACAGTGAGAAAGCAGTTTGATTATTTTGACCTACATCAATATGGACTAAAATCACAAAATCACTGTTGGTGAAAACCTCAGTCCTCACTTTAGAGAGATTTAGACTCCAAATAGCAGGAAAGGTGATCTGTTAGGTCATAAGTTGTCTTTAAGTGGACTCCCAGAATTCCATAGACCAGCTATACCCAAATTAGCCAAGCCTTTCATGCTTGTTAAGTCAGGCACGTGGGTGAATTTGTTTACGTTAGGTAATTAAATGTGTAAGGGTCACGCTGATTGTGGTTTCCTCATTATCAATGGATCAAACCACATCAACTGTTTCATCTCGGTACCAGTAATCATTGAATCTTTCTGTAGAAAACTCTTCTTCTTTTTTTTTTAATCTGACCCCAAAAAAGTACCTGCGCACTATACCCAAGTGTGCATTATAAATTGAAACCATGTTAATTTTTCAGTATAGCAAAATTGGATATCTGAGTTGTGTGTCTCCTTGCTTTCCATGAGGCCTTCTATTTTGTGATTAATAATGGTAGTGAATGGTTGTTTCAATCAAATGTTTAACACATGAACAGAAACTGATCAATTTTCAATGTTTTTAATATTTGTGAATCAATTATCATCACAGGGAAGTCGTAGATTAATAATGTTTCAGATTTCTAACATTTGCCAAGGAAGAAAATTAAAAACGGAGAAAATTTCACAAAAACAGGACAGAATTTGGGATTTCTTCCAGCTTGAAACACCAAAATTACCCCTGGTTCAACGGATCTGGTATTACAGATAAACATTACTTTGATACACCATTGCTAAATTTCTGAATTTGAAGTAATCCCTCATAAAATTTCTGTCACGTTAACATGGTTTTGGAGAGAGTGTATATAATGGATTGGGTCCATCACAGTAGCAGCATGTGTGGGCGTGGGCTGATGTGAGCATGCCACAACTGGTGCCAGCAGATATTAGATTTAAATCATACTGTGATGAAGATTAGGTAACATCACTAGTAACAACACTACACCTTTGTCATGATCCTGGTATTCTTCTATGCCATAATTTTTTTCTCTGAAATTAGTTTTTATGGAAAGTGTTATAGAAAGATATAGATATAAAGCCTATAGCTTTGGAGGGAAATCAAGGAAATGAAGACTATAAAATATGATGAAGACTGTAAAATATTTTTATTACTTAGATATTAAGGCGATCTATCAGATTTACTTCTATTGGTGGGTATTGGTGTAAAATATTTTTATCTTTATTACTTAGATATTAAGGCAATCTCTCTGATTTATTTATATTGGTCGGTATATGTGGAATCAGATATGTCATCAATTTCATCAAATCATTCTTGAATGATATTTTATTATATATATGGGGTATAAGTCAACTCAGATTACTGACCAATTCTGTCGCATTATTCCTAGATAATATCATTGTACATATACAATGTGTCATATTTCTTCTTGATTGAAATTATTAACCAAATCAAAAGAGCATTCCAAAGGGAAAAATCATTCTGATATCGTGTAAGCTCAAGATCTTTACAAGATAAGAGAGCCTGTATGAATTCTAATTCAACTTCACAATATAAGTATTTTCAACGATCTAATGGTATTACTTATGTATCTTTCATACCTTCATTGTATATCATGTTACAGTTGAGTTTATTTACTGGTATGTAAAGCATTTTGGGTTACATTACTTTACACATTATAAATGTGATTTCTATCAGAGTTAAGGCTATATGGTACCATGACCTCTTTTTTTAAGAAAGGATGACAGATCTCAGAAAAACTGCCTACATCTGTAAATTTGATATTATAACAACAGTTAAAACTGTGTTCTAGGAAGGTACACAGGTATATGCTTGATCAGATGCACTTCATACTACAGGTAAATAATTTATATCTTCGTAAAGTGTCCTATGGATGTTACTCAAAAAAGTATCAAATGTAAGGAATGTTCATGAATTGGGGACAAGGTGCTGTCTAAACCTGTGACTCTTTACAGAATAACTCTTAACAAGTTTCCCTGTTTCAAAATTGACATTGATATCAATACTTTTTATAACAAAAAATCTACAAAAAAAACCCACACAATTAAATTTCCATAAAGCAAGGAAATACATTATCAGTGTCATATTGATTATGTCCTGGTAGTTATCTCTTATACCTTTACATCCTGGTAATTATCAGTAGGAACAGCAAAACCTCATACTTATAGGTCATCTCACCATATTGTCATATCACGATTTAGAAAATTACAAACTCACCTTCATGTCTGGTTAGCTTCAGCTATAGTTAAAAAAAAAGTGTTACAGCTTGTTGTGCTGCGATTAAAGAGCACTTAAAGGACTCAAACTGACCAAAAGCAAAAATTTTTGAAAATATAACGTTTTTTTCTTTCATTGTTGTTGGGTAATCTGTGAAATAAACCTTACATGCTTTCATACCTGCAAGATTTACTAATACTGTATCTAGCATCATGAGGTATCATTGTAGTTGACGGTTCAGTCAAACATGTATAATCTTACATCCAACCAAATAATGTCTATCTGACATTCTGTAGGATTCATCCAAACATGTATCATCTGACTTCCTGTAGGATCCAACCAAAAATGTCTCATCTGACATTGTGTAGGATCCCACCAAACAATTCTCATCTGACATCCTGTAGTATCCAACCAAAAATGTCTCATTTGACATTCTGTAGGATACAAACAAACTTGTATCATCAGACATCCTGTCAGATCCAACCAAACATAATTGATCTGTTGTGAAACCTTTTGTGATCTATGGGATCTAAGCTTGTCTAATATTCAGATTTTGATCACAAAAGGGTTGATACTTTGTCAGATAGACCAGGGTGATTGTATATATTTTATATGTCAGATTGGACATGTTGTTATGATACACAAAGTTATATCTCAAAATTTTGCAAAAAGTCAAAAATGTGGGAAGTCAAATACAATGACTTAGTGTTTTAAATTAAAGAAAAGTGAAGTCTGAGTCAAACAGATGTATAATCTGTTGACAAGTTAATGTTTACCCATTGAGTACCCTAATAAATTCTCTGTATTTGCTTGTACTTTTGGTTTGTGTGAATACCGGTATCCTACCACACTTTCGCAATTTATTGCAGCTTTCAGAATCAAAGTATTGCTGTTAAAAGCACACAGTGTTAAATAGCTGTGATCACAGATGTTGATGAATGCTCTCTTTTGATTTAAAATGTCTCTGTCTCTCCCATATGTTGTGCGGTCAGTATAATGATTGGAAGTTGTGATCAATTGTAAGATGATAGGAAATTAGGTGTGAAAGGTGTGGTTGATTGTAGGCTGACAAACTGATAATAGTGGGAATCAGGTGTAGTCTGTCTCTGATCTAAAGCTATCCTAATCACTTGGCACTGTGGATGTCAGTCCTGTTTTTATAATCAATATATACCAAGATCCAAACTCTGATGAAATATTGGATAATTGAGAAGTAGGTGCAACAAAAAAAATCTGTTACTTGTAACTGAACAAGATTGGGGTATCTCAGTCGAAGGCTAAGATCCTGTAACATAATCCCAACCGAGGCATGTTGACAATTTCTATATCACAACTAGATAATTTAAGAAGTGACCGAACGTTTTGTTGTAAAACATGTTGTTAGTGGGATCCTCGTCCCAGAGACTATATGAAACCCTGGTAGATTTACATTGTATCTTCTATGATATGTATAACCAGTTTGTGTAGTATTAAACAAAATAAGGCAGCAATATCTGAAGTCAGGTTTCAAATCAGTAAAACATTCTTCTGTATCTGCACATACACTAACTAACTAACTAGCCCCACCTTTTTTAGAAGGAAGACTTTGAATTTCACAGTTACAATTTCAATAATCCATTTTGCTGAAAGGCTAGGCCTGCAATTTATGATTTTTGCCAAAACTGAAATTTTCAGTCTCCATCGTGGAAAATCTATAACTACAAGTGATGTGCTACAGTTGATTGTAGAAGGTGTATACGTGGAAATCTTGCTTCAGGAGTTGCTGTTCTTTTCTGTTTTCTGTTTTTACTTTACTATGATTTATGCTTTAACTTGGACATTGGTTATTTTGATATTTTCCATTTTCACATATATTTTTTGTCATTACAGACTGGCAGTCACCAACAAGACATACATGGTAGATGTTCTAGGAATAAAAAATGGCATCCATCGACAGAAAATCTCGGTAAAGGCCATGGACTTGGTACTATTTGGACCACCAAAGGGTAACTTTTCAATATCATCAAGGTCTTCATTAACTTCTTTGGTTCTAATTTAAACTTACTACCAACATTTCAGAAACATTAAGTTAATAATTGAACCTTTGGATGATTCTTCTTTGGTTTATCTTATGCAAATTTGAAACTTGAATCTGTCACAAAGTGAAAATAGGTCTTTAGACCTCATTATGCAGAGTTGTAGCCCTTTGTTTAGTGTGTGTCATCTGTCAGCTCTACAGGTACCTGATGCAATTGTCAGATATGTTGGAAAATTTGGATAGAGGACTCCAACAGACCGAAACAACTCATGTTTCTCACTGTTTACTATATGATAACACCAAGCTAATTTCTATATACCTTCCCCATAGCATTACCCATGTCTGTCCCATCCTGAATATATGTAATATTTTTAGCAACTTCATGACTTCAGGGCTTTTAATCAGACTTCATGTAAAAATCAACCTATTACAATCCCATGGATGAGTTAGGGTTTAAAAGTCAAGGTGATTGTTACTAATTGTTACTATAAGAATGTGTACATTGATGCTGTACACAGACATCAATATCCTTGTGAAGTATTATCTATTAGGAGAACAGTGATAAAAACTATGGTTTCAGTCCTGTGATGTTACTTAGAATATCTAATGTCTCTTTACAGATAAACACAGGTTTGTAAGGGACCTTGTTCTCATCCTGTTGCTTTTCATTGCTCTGGGAGGAGTATGGTTTGCACTCAACCAACACAGACTGGGAAAGAAAAATGCCATCAAGTTCAGAAAGAGGCTTGAGGCCTTACAGAAGGCAGAATTATCCCTGTCTGAACTACAGGAGAAGTATGTTAATATTTTCTCGTAATTTATACAGTTAACTTACATAATGGTTATGCTACCATGTAGATAGGATTTCTTGAGAATCCAGTGAGTTGTTGAATTTCTGGTAAAAAAAGAAATAAAAAAAGGGAAAAAAACTGATATTTTCCCATATATTTTATTTCTGAAAAAATACACAAACCAACATTTACAGAGTGGGTTATATTTATTGGACAGATTACAACATATTAATCACATAGCTGTAAAAACCACCTCTAAAATATAAAAACAAAATATCACAAAAATGCTTATTTTTCTACACACTTCTTCATTTTTTGACACTTTTATAAAGGTATAATAATATATGTACCTATTTATCTATTGGACATTCATCAATTAATTGTATTAAACAGCAGCCCTGTGTGCCTGTACCATTCATCTGGTTTCAAACATACAACCTCTCCAAAAAAATGTAAACTGTTTCAACTTAATTTCTAATCTTTCTCCAATTCATATTTTAAATTATATGCCTCTGCCAATAGCGATAATTCCACATATGGTCATCTCTCTCTCCATTCTGAGAATGTAGCCGCGGTACTGTCATCCAATCCAATCTCACTCTTATCACTACACAGCCACTACTCAAGTCTGACCATCTGTCAATATCTTTTACGTCAACTAACGTCATCGGCTTGGAATACGAATGGTCATGACAACTACTACTTTCATTGCAATCATTTTCAAAAGATGAAAACCATCCACTCTCATTGCTTCTTGTTATTGTTGACATTATGACCTACTTCTCACACTTTCTATACAGACAAGCTCTTCTTCGCGCACAAATTGGAGGTTGCAGCACCACAATGTAATATATACTACTTGTGTATTATGTAGGGCTAAGTCTCCTTAACACTGGGATGTTATTAAGTATTATGATCCTCTGGTTTACTCTCTTTTAGGTCATCTGACTAGAAGGGTCAGGATGACCTCTAGCCAATGTGTTTCATCCATTATTATGCACCATATGTTCCATTCAAATGACATCTTTTCAATAAGCAAAATGCCTAAGATGGTGATATTGGGTCTGTAACATGATGGGATGACCAAGTTTGTCAATATGAATGACCTTGATATACTTTCAAAGTCACAGGGGTCAAATATGTCAAAATTTTTAAACGACTTCTTCTCAATAACCAAAAATCCCAAGGTGCTGATATTGAGCCTGTAGCATGCAAGGATGAAGGGCTACCAAGTTTGTTCCTCTCGATGTACTGTCTAGGTCACAGGGGTCAAATGTGTTGAAATGTGTAAACAACTTCTTCTCAAAAACCAAAAGGCCAGGGGTCTTGATATTAGGCCTGTAGCAGGCTTTTTCAACAAGCAATATGTCCAGAGTCATGGCATTTGAGTAGTGCACGTTTAAAGAATTTGATTTCAAGTTTGCTGAAAATGTCTTTATTAACCAACCAATGTCTTCTATGGAAGCTGTAGTGTAGTTGAGAATTTTATTTTAGGCCTATTTGGGCTCTTTGGTATATAGGTCTTTGTAGTCAGATGACCCTTAAGGCCCGTGAGCCTCTTGTTTAATATTGGTGCATTCCAACCATTAATTCAAATTTGAGAAATTTTCATTTAAAATATGACTTCGTCAGCAGTAAAGACAATATTGGATCATATGTACATATATAGTATTATGTTAAGGACATAAAATTATGTCAGATATTACAAATTGTCCTTCAACTCACATATTAAGTACCTAAAATGTAATATTTGTTGTACTACAAAATATTACTTCTATTTCCTCCCACGGTTAGACTCTCATCAGTGTCAACAAGAAAGATTTATATCTTTTGATGTAACTTGTTTCACAGTCCTTGTCAAATAAATTAATTTTACAGTATGTAGGATAATGTTATCAAATATTTCTGAACTAATGAGATTTAGGTAAATTCAGCATTACACATTTAAAATTTGTCAACATGATGTTATATCTAAAACAGAAAAAAAGGCTTAACAAAATTCATTTGTCTGTTTCAGACTGTCTGCAGCGGAGGAACAACAGAGAAGTGGTGTGACTGGGGATTCTGCTGACAATATGGATACCATTTCGGTAAGACAGTCTCAACCAAATACTGTAATGGTCAGATCAGTGATTAAGTATGAGATTGCTATTAAGCTTCCATGTCTAACCTCACAGTTTGCATCTGATGAATCCACTACCTGAAAAAAGCAAGTCATTACTTTTGCTACTTGCAATTCTTGGATTTCTACTTGCAAATAGCCAGTAAAAAGACTTAAATTCTAGGCCTGGTTGATGTCACAGAGATAAGATTGATATAGTTTCACTATAGAGTTAAAAGGAATGAAAAGAAAAAAAATACTTTTCTCAAATTCAAGGTCAGATTAGACCTCTCACATCAATGTAATTCTAAAATTTCATTAATTCAACAACATCACCGATTTCCAGCACACTGTTAGTGTAAGAATTCTGTGTTATTTATTTCTGATATTAACTAATGGGAATAAGTGGGGTATGCATTCTAAAGTTATGGTATTTATTACTGAAATGAAATCTAGATGCTATACCATAAAAGGGGCTGTAGAAGGGGACAAATATATCACAGGTACCTATTAAGAAAATCACCTTCCCTAGAACTTTAATTAGAATATAAATGCTCAGTTCTTCATTTTTAAACATCAGGACATTTTCTAAAAAAAGAAAAGAAGACAACTGTACAATCCCTGTATATGACATTTTATATTTCCTAATTTAAATGGGACAATTTTGATCATGTGTCATTTGGTCCGAGACTGAATACTTCATGACAAGTTTACTGTGTTACTAGTGTTGTTCTCGTTAAGTCTGTATGGTAGTTGTAAGCATATAACGCATATTGTAGGAGGACTCGGATAGTGTGAGGAGAGAACTGACAACTGATGAAAAGTCTCGTTTGATACAAGCAGAGGAGGAACTTTCACAGGTAGGTACACAATATAAGATCATGATTTTCAAATTGTATTGATTGTTGTATTTTCCAGATTAAAAGGTCTATTGCTGTTTGAAAAGCCATTGTCAATTGCTGTGTAGTAGAATTACAAAGATATACTGTTGTTTTTTTGTCCTGCAATAAGCCCTCCCCTTACTTTGAGTTTGACTTTAAATGCCAATGCCTTGACTTAATGTAGGATAAATAAGGTATTGACAAATACTACAGTGTGAATATATTAGAATGTTGAATATGATTTACTCTTAATGAAGTTTCTTTTGAAGTGTAACCTACAGGCTTCATATGTGTACATGATAAGTCAACACTTGAGATTATGTACCTGTTATAAATTATTGATCAGAAAACTCAGCTGTCTTGTTTATCTTACAACCTGTGTAATATTTATTACAAACTTTAACCTGTCAAACACATGCTTTAGCTTCTTTTTGTAAGGGGAGACACAATTCATTATGTAAACATAATATAAAAAAATATTGTTTTAGCATTCTTACATGTATATCATTTGAAATTATCCAAAAAAAAAAAACAAAAACGAAAAAAAAAAAACAATGTATGGGCTTGTACAGCAGAATCCTATAATAATACATTAGCATCAAATACATGATCTGAAGTATTCACGCTTCATGATTTGATAATGTGTAGTAATATGTTTCAAAATATTAGAATAGATTATGAAACACTGTTGGCATTCTGCATTGTTTAACAAAACTTGCATACGATATTACAGGTCCGAGCGGCATTGATACAAGCTGAGGAACGTAACAAATGGACGCCACCTCATGAACTTCAGATCTGGCTACAGCTCTCGTATGAAATGGAACATGCATACTTCTTATTAAAAAAAAAAGATGCCTACAAGCGGGTCCAAATTGTGAAGGAGGCAGTGAGTATTTAACAACTGTCACAACTATCACACTCTGATTTCATCTGGATTTGTCCAGATTCTGGCTATTTATCACAGGATGAGTGTAATAACTATATATATGTATCCAAAACAGTTTCAAATACCTGGTATTTTAATGGCTTTTTATATCAAGAAATCATTTTGAATTCTGAAAGCATTCTGAAAATTTTTATTTTAATTTTCGTGAAAATATGTTTGAATTGAAGTTTTGTTGAGGTAGTCATTCTTTTAAGAACTTAACGTGATATACAATTTAAAATGGCAGTTTTTACAGGTAGTTTTGGCTTTAAATCTTTTTTATTTGACATGTTTTCATTCTTGATTTAGCTTAACTATGGAAACTTACATACAAAAATCAGTTTTTGGAGTGATTTTTCTCATAGTATGGTGATGAAGAAAATTGAAAATGATAAAGATTTCAGTTCAATTGACAAAAGTAACAGGGAGATAATCTTTTTGTGTCAAGGCTGATGTCTTATTTCTTTTTTATTTGCTTAGTGTGAGAAGATGAAGAAAAAGCGATCAGCATTGTTTGGAGCATTTCGTATTGCTACTGACCACACTATGGAGGAATCCGATCACAATATCCATGAGGCCAAGTAATCTTAACTCACATGCTTCCCATAAGCAACATCAAAAGTTTTCCAGTCTGTTTAAGGATTTTATTTTTTAATTTAAAAAGAGTTATTTTGATTTTTTAGATTATTTTGAAAATATTGTTGAACTCAGATTTTCACTTTTTAGAAATTTAACAGAACAATGAAATAAGTACACTGTGTGGATATTGATTATCAAATATTTGATTATCAAATATTTTGAAGAATTTATCTTTGGCTGTATTATGGGAAATAAGTACACTGTGATGCTAATATATTATCCTAATGTTCATTGATATATTTTTTCTTGGTTCTGTTTTCAGAGAATCATTAGAAGAAGTAAATAGAATATTTAAAGAAAAAAGACATCGATGGTTAAGAATAGAAAAATTATGTGACCTGTCAATCATCAACAACCCAGGGAAGGATGCACTTCATCGAATTACACAGAGACCTACAGGTGTCACAGTCTTTTTTACTTATCAATTTTACTTACACTCAGAGCAATACAAAAGTTCTTCTACATGAGATTCTCAAGACATTAGAATAAAAACACTATGAATTATGTATACCAAGGAAACATGCCTCCTGTAGGGCTGTAAACAATGTAGTAAAACATTTTCTGTAAAACATAAAATAAAAAATTATTGGATATCAAATCAGTACGAAACACCTGATTTTTATGCCCCCACCATTGCAGTGAGGAGGAGAGGGCATAGTGTTTGTTACCCTTGGTCAACCCATCCCATCTTGATACAACACTCAGCAACAATAATGCTGCTTATGAATTCATGTTTCAGGTTTTAAGGTCAAGGTCACAGTTAATAGTTATAGATGTACATTATTTTGAGGGAATGGGGACATTTCCATTACATCTTTGATTCGGTTTAATTTCTTTGAACAAATATAAGGTCGTACTGTAATTTATTCATGTATATGATTACTATCGAACAGGTATCATCCCTACATCCACCTACAGACTGCCACCTCACATTCCTGCCATGGATGTTGGCGACCTTGAACTTGACGAGGACCTCCCCCCAGGGTATCCAGGCCCAGGTAAATTATAGTCCCTAGTAGATGCTCCCTCCTGTACACCTATTAAATAGATAGAGAATCATGTCCAAATATACATAAATTCTCCTGTTCAATGTATTTTAATTGCCAAGGTTAAGGTTAATTCCAGTCATCAGTCAAAGTTCGCGGTAATTAATTTTGTATAGGTCCTGTTTTACACTGTAACAGATCTTAACACTCCCTTACTTTATTGTAATTTGATCTATAAGAAAAAAGTTTTGGATTTGTTAGAAAAATCAAATTTTAAAAATTTCTATAACAATGTAACACTGATATTGTGGTGGTGTGTTAATTTAGTTATTAACCTCTTATATCTAACTAAACAAATATGAAAAAAAAAATAGGTGATGGGTTTCTTAATAAATGTTTCGAGCCTTATCACATCATTTTCTAAAATATCAGGACCCAGGATACTTGGAAAAAATGAAACACATAATTCACTATGTGTGTATTTTTGTATATTATGGATAGTATAAACAATGAATAAGGCAGTGTTGTAGAGAAGTATATTACAAAGATAGGCAGACTTCTGACAAGATCAGTCTTTCAGCATCATTGAAGAGAAGTGCATAGAATAGTACCCTGTTGGTAGAGTATTGTTTGCATAGTATGTATGTAAATATGTTGCATGCTTGAAATCATTATGGTATATCAATGTAAATATGTATTTTATATTATCCAAGTATTTTTGATCCTATATTTATTTCTTTGAATATGTCAGTTCCACATGATTTCAGACAATTAAAACAATATTAACTGTATTTATCAAGCAATAAGCCCATGGCTGTGAATAAGCCCAATCATGTGTATTGCTGCTTCAGTAAAGATACCGACAAATATTTTATATATATATATCCTGTATTTCCCAGGTTATAAGCCACACATTTTCTCCCTGTAAGTCATGCATGCAGCTTATATACAGGTGTGACTTATATGTTAATGGAAAAGAAATTGGCAGGATGAAAAAAAAAACAACAACAAAAAACAGAAAGAGTAACAGTACACTAGTATGAGACGATACTGATTTTTTTTAAGAGTACCTGCGTGTCACATGCTTGTAACTGAAACAAATCGTCAGGAGCCATCATTTCCAATCATATATCGGATGATTTGAAGATTGAAATAAAAATAGCATTCTCATGAATTTCATTAATGGTACCTTTTAATATGAATCACAATAATATCTTCTGGATTTTCGTGGTTACTTCAAAAGCATAGGGTCATAGTTCAAATTCTAGAATGATCACCATGCTTGTTTACGATATGAACGGTCTCCTCGTAACTTACAAGAAGAAGTAATAAGGGACTATAAGAAGTTTATCAGCATGCAAGGGCCTTCTTTAATATTTAACAGTTTAGACACAGATGGAGAGATGGTTTAGTTTAGTAAACCATACATAACGTCAGGCCATATATCTGTACTAAGACAATCTGTGTAGGCACCCAAGCCAATCGGTTTTGATATTTGCTATGTTTTGTTTCTTGAAATTAATTGATAAAATAAAGGATTATCAGTACATAATTCATTCGCAAACTTTATTAAATGTTTCACTGACAATCTTGATAAATTGCCCTCCGTTATCAGTTATATCAATGAATTTTGGTCATTATAACCATTACCACTTTGTAAGAAAGTATGCGATTATATGTGGATTGAATTGAAAAAATCTGTAAAATCGGCTCTGTGGCTTTTAATCTGGTGCAGCTTATAACCTGGAAAATACATTATATATACCCACCTCCCTAGTGTGAGTCAAAGGCTTATTGCAGCATAGGTACTGTATTGTCTCAGAACTGAAGTCAGATTTAAGGATAATGACTTTTTGTGAATGAGATCTCTAGTTGTTTTTTTTATTAAGTTAACATCTTAATTGTCAAAATACAAAAAGACGCTCACTGTGTACAGAAACTAATGGATGACAAGAGATTGGTTAGATAATCAAACTTCAAAGATCAGTTTCCCTGATAAAACCGCTTAACAAATTTTCTGAGCCCAGATGCAAGGTTCCATTGCATTTTAAATGAAGTAAAAACCAAGCACTTTTATTAGCATATAAATCAAATTTTGTATAGAAACAAAAAATTAGATATGAAGTTTTCATTTTACTCTATTGCATTACAAATTTTTAAGGGGGTGGCGGTGGTTGAAAGAGATGCTATATTATTGCATGACTCTTCATTACAAAGTAAAGCTGCATGACACAGATTGTGTATTTAGTCACTATTTAAGTTTACCGTATAACAATGATCATGTACCTTAAGTTATTAATGTCATGTGACACAGTTTATAAATCAGGTCACTGCAGTTTTATTTCCTCATATAGCTAGGCATACACAAATGCTTCTCCCTATATATCAGTTTGTATCTGGGATAGAATTTTGGAACCATCAGAAATGTATACCATAGTATATTTTTTGAAAATTCCAAAGGGTTTACTAATAAAGCCAATGCCATTTGTGCAGGTTGGTTGGGTCGTGGGTTCTTTTACTCTTCAGCTGGATACCAGAGACCGTGCAGGGGGATTGAGCAGTAGGGAAAACCAAATAAGGGATATCAATCACAACAGTATCAGGGTAAGTTCTTTAGATTTATTACTAACCGTCAACCAGTCTCGCCCTCTTTGTCTTAGACCTTAGGTACATACCTGTCAATTGGGACACCTGAATCTATAAATAGTAGACATGGAATTAGGGCGAAACTGGTTGACAGTTAGTAATAATATCTAAAGAACTAACCCTGATCCTGTTGTGATTGATATTCCTTACTTGATTTTGGAAATTCATATATCTGTAATAGAAATTTTACTGTTAAATTTAACCATCAGAGGTTACAAGTTTAAAATCGAATTTTAAAAATTTGTGAACAAATTTACACTTAAGTTTGAAACAAACACAGCCTTTAACATTTTAATAACCTGTTTTCAAATGAAATCACAAGAATATGTCTTCCTTGCTCTTGTACCTGCAGTGTGAGTTTTTCTGTGTTCCAAGATATATCTGATATTGACCAACACAATGTCACTTTCGTTTTAATGCAGCGCTATTTTATCGCTCGTCACTTGCTAACGGCCTTCCTAGACCACCAACGTACTCAGGTAACTTGTCATGATGGAACACAATGAAAAACGAAATGGTGGCATGCGGTTTATTGTTTAAATTCTTTCCATGTATTTATATATATATGTGCTTTATTTTTTTGAAAGATATGAATTTAAATTTCTGATAGAAAATTAATTTTGCACCTTAGTCCTGGCTTTAGGACCCTTTGCTATTTTTACTGATGTTATGTCTGTCAACACTATAACGGCCGTGTGGAGTGATTACACCATACTAACTTGCACCATTACCAATTTACTATGTATCCAATTTAATGCGAAACCTGAATGTAGAAAACCATTCCGCAACATTTTAATTTATGTTTTACCAGATAATTACCTAAAGAGAATTTCGTGGAGTGAAATGCCACATGTTTCTTTCCTAGTTAAATTTTTGTATTTAAATACCACTGACTCTCAAAGTGTAAAGGCTACCACATCAGAATTTAAAACATACAGGTAGAAAACAAACAACAAAATTTGGATTGGCTTAAACATGGGAACAATCATAGTGTTCAGATCAGTGTGAAATACAGGCAGACAAACAGCATTTGACACAGAAATTGCTTAGGAAAAACCTGTCAAATGAGATATGCTTTGTGTACTGGTATTTAGTTAGCTTCCTTTTTAGCTTCTTTTTCAGATATGGAATTTGATACATTTATTTGGTTCCATGAAAATCTCCAATGTGGTATATTTTCCCACATATCACCACTAGTATGGTGTGTTAGATAAGCTCTTCATATTTGTTATGTAATTTGATATATTATAGTTGAAGTCTTTATGAATACAGTTTTTAATTTAACATAATAAAGAAAAAACTTTTTAAGAGTAAAATTGATAACCAATATTTAATGGAATCTACTGTAATTACCTGGTTTGCTTTCTAAACAATGTCTGCTGTATGCTTTGTTCTTTTTCCTTTGAATGGATGTGACTACTCTCTCCATATTCCTGGACTTCTATTTGTTGCCAAGTTACATTTTTGTTGTGGTGTGCACTTGTGGCAATTTTTTTTTTCTTGTACTTATAGTTAAATGTTTGCAGCACTGTGGGTTTTCGCTTTTGCTGTTTTGCTGGAGTATATAATTTACCTTGCAGATTTAGATAATCTTTCCAAGATTTCCAGGTCATAAGGAATATTTTATTTAAATTCAGGACCTGATAATTTGAAATAGGTTTAGAAGGTTCAAAAATACCTGTATTTTCCATTTTACAGAAGGTAAACCTGAAAAAGTATAACACTGTTACGCATTATAGAGCTTCTGCACCAGTAAAAAATAACAAGGAGTAAACTTTATCAGAAACATTACATATACATGGTCAGTAGCAAATCAACAGGTAATATTGGAACAGAGAGTAGGAAGTTGTAAGCGCTTGTGTTTTACCAATTTGATTTTTTGTCGGAAAATAAATGTTTCAATGAATGGTCAGCTGGTTTGCTACTCTCAATGTAATATTCTAAAAAAATTCTTGGTATGACTGGATATAATACAGATGCTTTTTAACTGATCCAAGGTAGAGACAGATGACTTCGATTATTTATCTTCACTCACTATTCTTAGTTTAGAGCCTCTGACATCAAGATGACATCCTCTAACAGCACTTTATATGATGTATGTTTATACGTAACCATTACTCACTTTAATCCAATGATAACCTGTTTATTGTCAGTTTTTACACATCCACTTTATTTCATTGGGGGAGACAGTTTAATGACATCCCTTTAAAACCATGAGTGAAGGGAGACAATCATTAGTGAAATGTTGCTGCTTAGAATTATTTTAGACAGTTGATTTTGATTGAATTTGTATGAAGTAAAAAAAAAAAAAAAAAAGATGAATAAAATCCATGAAAAGACACTGCCAAGGAACTGAACATTTATGGGTAGAATTACAAAATCTTATCTTTTTCTTACATCAAATCACAAATTCATGCTAGTGTTATGACGTTAATGTATTGTATGTTCATTGTTGAAAGGATTTGGCTTTATACTGCACTGGTAATAAACTAAACTAAACTAAACTAAACTATACACCTACCCAGACCTGATTTTTATTTTATGCTCCCCAAAGGGAAAGCATATAGTTGCTACTTCATCTGTCTGTCCGTTTGTCCGTCTATCATGATTTTGTCTGGAGCATAACACAACAACTATAAGAGGTATCAACATAAAACTTCATAGGTAGATAGATCTTAGCTAGGAGAAGTGCAGTTCTTAAGAATCCTCACTCTTTTTTGCATAATTTAGGAGTTATTGTCCTTTGTTATTTTTCATACTTAATTTCTGTCTGGAGAATTACACAAAAACTATCAGAGGTATCAACATGAAACTTCATAGGTAGATAGATCTCAACACGAAGGAGGGCAGTGCACAAGAATCATAACTCTTATTGCCCTTTATTATTCTTCATACTTAAATTTTGTCCCATTCGGGGACCATAATCGGTCTCTGACGTCCCTTTTTTTCCCCTTTTTAAGTTTTATATTTGAGTATTTTAGATATCGATAGATGTGTACACTTTCTGGCTCAGAAAAATCCTTGATTCTTGTTTATGAAACAGTTCTCTTGTATTTTTATGTGAGTCCATCTCACTCAACACAGTCCTTTTACAGTTAACAGTATAGAGTGTTGGATGGAGGTGTGGCGCTCCTAAGATTTAATAAACTGTGACCATGGTTCAGCTCCATTGGTCATTGACCTCTTCCAGATTAAGTGGTTTACTCACATTTATATTTACTGATGAAGATTTTTACATTCCTATCGCCAATAAAGGAAATTCATTTCTCGGCCAAATTTTTTTTCATTTCATTGAAAATTGTGTGTAGAATACTGTATTGATGAGTTTTGCCATTGTCAGTTTTGTTTGGAAGTACAGGGAGGAAAATGCATGATGGAAGTCTGTCTTTGGAATGTCAAATAAATTATGTTACTGTTTATGATGCTTATAGAACTCTACTTAAAACTCATATTGCAGCAGCTTCTTACCAACACAAGCTTACAAGCAAACCTTCTTTGTCTCATCTCTTCATAGACCGCCATCCATTTCAGTAGTATTACAATATACAATTTACCCCTATGTTCAGTTATTTTTTGCTGCCTTCCTTTTTATCCCAGTAACTAGTATTCTGAGTGTTTCTTTCAATCAAAGAATGTTACTAGTGGCTTGATTTGACTGGAGTTATCAGCATGGTATTTCTGAAAAACCTTTCTTAATAGAAATCATATACTGTAAGGTCTCCTCTTCAGTAATTTGAAAACAAAATAATTCTAAATCAATGAGCAAGTTTTCTTAGAATCACGTAGTGTGACTGCATTAAATGTATGCATACCTATGAACTGGCTAAATTTGAAACTGGAAAAATTTACACATGTAATTCTGTATTAGATCGTATACTTTGTTTACAAATGCAGCTGTCTTGACTATATGTTCATTCTTTTGAACTTGTAAATGACTATCCTTTCCACTTCATGAAAAATTACATACATATACATTTGTATCTTGAGGTGAAAGTACTGGATTGTTTACATAAGTTTTGTTTTATAGTGTATTCTTGTTACATTTTTTCTAAACCAATTTCACATTGTATTTCAGGGTACCCACCAGTAACGTTACGACAGCGTCCACGAGACCTAGGTACAGGGGGCATGAAACCACGCCCAACAACCCCAGTGCAGGCACCCATGACGGCACATGCCAAGTCACCTGACCGATCAATGACCTCAAGTGATAGGTCAACATCATTGCCAGAAACAGCCAGCCCAGAGGAAGACAGGCCTGTTTTCTCTCTTGGTGAAAAGTAAGTGACTTTTTCATTTATGCACCAGTAGAAATTGTTCTTGGTTTTATAATCAAAAGCAAGGTGATGTGATTAGCAAAGATCTGAAAATTTACTCCAACTAGGACTGATTTTGAATTTCACAATAACAGGCATATCTTATTTGCCAACATTTTCAAATTTCTTGGAAAGTAACAGAATGGATCCAAAATTTCAGGGATCAAATAGTTCATTTATAGATTGCTTTTTTGACAGTATGAATATTACATTAAAACATAATTTAGATTATACTTTTGCAACGTTTAAGAGTATAGGTCACCTCACTAGCATCAGTTAGTGGGAATTTCCATTGGGTAGACTATTGGTAGAGTGTCTGGATAGAGGCGGAAGATCATTAGTTTCAACTTCACTGGTGGGAGAGTGTTTCTGGTGTCACTGACCACTCCAAAAGTAGAGGATACAGGAGATTGAGATGTTTCCTTGGAGATATCAAACCCAGATTGTTGTTGTCGTCTTTGAGGACTTTGTGTAGGAGGATGTATTGTAGAAATTGATAATACAGGTCATGTTACAAGCTTCAGCTAGTGGGAATTTCCCTTAAGTAGAATGGTAGAGTATGTGGTAAAAACCAAAGAATTGATGGTTCAAACCAAAGAGGTGAGAGTGTTTTTCATTCCTCTGACTTACTACACTTCATGTGTGGTTGGAGTGGTAGCGCACTCGCCTTTCATCTAGCTGTTCAGGATTCACTACCTGGAACGGGCATGAAAAGGTGTGGGGTCATCTGCCAGACCACATGTGTTTTCCTTGTGTACTCCTTCCATAGTAAGACCCTAAGTAAAAGTTGCAATAACTTGTTTCGCAATTGTTTGAAAAATAAATAAAGTTTATACATACATCTTTTTCTAAAAACACTTTATGTTTGACACCATTGGTTTCATTTTGCATTATAAGAATTTTTACTAATAACAGATGATTTATAGTAGGATAATTATGGTAAATAGAAAGTTTTATGACTGTCCTTTAATAAGCCCACCCCCGAATTTGAGTCAGAGGTCAGCCCCATTGGACTTATTGTCGGGTAATTATGGTAAATAGGAGGCTTGAGTGTTGGCAAGTAAGATATGCAATTCTGTAATTTACAAAAGTTGCACTTTTTAGATTAATACACTTGTATAAACATTTTGTCTAAATTAAAAAGTCAATTATTACATTGATATACAGCTTGTAAGTTACTATGACATGATATTCATTTTTGATAAAAACCCTGTTGTTTCCAGTTCTGTAACACCAATTACACAAAAACCGTCCAAAATACGACGGATTAAAAAACGGATTACGCGTAGTGACACCTAGATGTAAGTTTGTGAGATGGTGTGGCTCGGATATGTAGTAACACATTATGCATGGTATGACTTGTAGCCTGCCAAACACAACCATGACAAAGCCTCTTACCATAATGTGTTCATTATATTTCTTTTTCAAAAATTGAAATAATTGCAATCTTGTTTCCTGTGTCACTGTGGGTGTTATATTTTTTGTGAATATATATAGTGTTTTACAGATAATTTATTAATGATATACTGTATCATTTCATTTATCGTAGAATGCTTCTATTATTCTATCTTATCTTTTATCAATCTTTTAGTAGAAAAAAATTTTAATATCCTTTACATGCTATTGTATATATATATCTATATTGTGCATGCTGAATTGTTAGTACGAGCAGTAGACAAGAGGATGATAGTAAATAAGGTCACTCCGGGACTGTATGTAATTGTTGCTAATAGGCAATCAGTTATAATTACTTTACAAAGGGTCCACAGGGCTGGTAATTCATTCATACACCATGAAAATCCTAGTGGTGTGTTTACTGGAATGATTTCCTTCTACTACACTTACATATATGTCCCTGTCAAACGCCAGCCTTAGCACTCCAAATATTATTTAAAGATGTAAATAAAAAATTAACTTATCTTAGATGTTTAAGTTCAAGTGCGAGGTTCATTTTATATAAATGTTAGAGGAATATTTTTCACAAATTAAAAATATTTATTCAAGGCAATTTCTAGTGTATTATATCTAGGATCTTACCCAAATATCCATTTGATATGTGAATTTATGAACTGTAAGTCCCAATGCCATCTGTGACGTCATTTCAGTATCTGAAGTTACCTCACCACGAGCTATATTACACACATGTAATATGCAAATATTGACATGAATTTATGATAAAATTTTATTTATAGGTGTGAGTGAAAATAATCAAAACATCATCAGGGTCTGTTTCATTGACAAAGATATCTCAGTCTTCTAGTAATAGTTTTACTAGTGGAACAAACAAAAACTCAGTTTGGTTGAGATATCCCTGTCCACTTAACGGACTTATGTATTGTTCTATTATTCTGTTAGGACATTTTTTAGAAACACTAGCTGTTCACTAATATATGCCCTTAGTCCTGTAACAAAAAGAAAATTATGAACAGTTTTATGTTGTGTGATCTTATTATGATTATTTTTCCTTTTTAGTACCCCTGAGTCACCATGCAGCCTTCCTGGGTCAATAGGAATGTCCCAGCAGAACGGAAATGCTTCAGTAGGACAACCAAACTTTAACCCTATCCATAACTCACATTCCTGTTTCATCAGCGGTAAGAAGATCAGTGCCCACAATAACCGTGATAGCATTGGCAACAGTAGTCTCCCTTTAATGGATGAGGACAATTCTCAAAGTGCTCAGGTGACACGAAGTCACTCAGAAGCAAGTCTACTTAAACATCAAGTGAAGTTGATTGCACATGATGCACAGAGTATAACCAGTACAGACTCTGGTAGTATCCTTGAGAATGGGAAAGTCAAGTCGAAAAAAAATAAGATTTTTAAATCTCTGTTCCGTGGTGGTAAATCTAAAGAAAAGCACAAATCTTCGTGATAAGTAAGGAACTTTTTTTTTCTTTCTTTCTTTCTTTTTTTTCCTCTTCTTTTTAATGTAATTGAATGAACATTTATAACATCCCTTTGTTGAGGAGGCTGAGATTCTGTGATAAGAGGTGAAAACTGTATTGGGTAAAGAACCTAGTATTGATGAAAGTTTAGACAGTCATGCTGTCAATATCATCACTGTTGAATCGTTCAGGGAGCGATACATTGTCCTGCAGAGCGTGGCTTTATGTAATTATAATTCATTTTGTTCTCTACATTGAATGGGCCATGTGGCATTTTTATTGTTTTTTGTTGAAACCTTAAAGAATTTATATTTTAAATGTGCTCTTTAGTTAAATCATTTTGTGATGTTGTTGTTTCATGTCATCTGTTAGATTTCAGTTGTTTTGATGTTTCATCTTTGTTCCACAGGTTTCGTAGTTTGTGCTGTTGCTTTGTGTCTGGTATGCATCGAAACTTTGACATAGAATTCTGTAATCTTTACAACTTCATGTTTGCAAACACCAGAGTAGTTACACTGCAAAAGATAGATATTTTCTTGTAAAGTATTAGTCAAGTTGAATTTTATATTTTCATGTTAGATAATGTAGCTTATCCACTTCAAATTTTAAAGTTAAATATTATATTAAGCTTTTGGTTATGATTTCCATTAAGATTCAATGATTTGAGTTTGTTTTCAATTTGCAGTATTTTCAAAAAAAAAAAAACTGATTGATTTATTGTGAAATCATATTGGATTAATATAGCTTAAAATATATGTAGGTATACTAATTTTAACAGTTCATGGATGTATGGATTCGTGGCTCAAGAGAATCCACAAAATTGCCAAAAAGTAAATCCACCGGGAAAGTTCTTGATTTTACAGAATTCAGTTTATACAAGAAAGTTTTTGAATTAAGATACATTTAAGGTGGTTCTATTGTACATATATTTAGGAAGTTAAATGTTCATTTTTTTGAAGGTAAAATTTGAGGAACGTTAGATGAATAGATACTTTCCTATTATACGTAATAAGAATAGATACTTTCATAATTTTGCTCTCTTTCATCCCATGCAATGATGTATATGCATTAAAAAATTTATTTTGAAATGTTATGAATTTCTGTATGAAAGTGTTGATTGTTGCTTACAATTAGAAACCAACTTGCCATTGTTTATTCACTGTACTTAAAAGTGCTTATTTTCATGCAAGACAGGTGTAAAATGTGAATTTAATACGTGTAAAAAAAGTAATGAATTGTACAATATTTATGATAGAATTTCTTTCTAAAATCATGTTTTAGGATTGATTTTTAATAACTTGTGAAAGTGGATGGTGTGGAACTGAAATACAGAAAATGCAATTGAGCATAGCCAAAATAATTTTCATTTTTGAAGTTATAAATGCTGTTCCTTCTTGTGTTCAATACAACTGTGTTGTAAATGCTACTTTTTAGAATTTGTGAGTTTGCAATGAATTTTAATATTTTCAGAAAGTAATGTGAAACAGAAGGGTTAAATGATAGTTACTCCTTTTTCTTTTTTTTTTTAAGTATGTAATAGACCTCAATCCTCAATAGATTATGTCACCCTTTCCCTTCCATAAATACATTAGTTACAGTATTAAGGGATTAACTATTCTTGTTCATGTGACTTTCAAGAGGAGGAGAATATGCTTGCCAAGATGACGAAAACAAACTCAGCATTGAGATGAAACTGCTGAACCTTTTCCATAGTTGGAACAACGAGTATATATGTTTGTAAAATTAATTTGTTAGATATATAGAAGTGATTTTAAAATGAAACTTGTTTTTTCATGTCTGTTTACCTGATATATTTGTTATTGAAGAGATATTGTTTGGTGATGATTGAAATGGCAAGAAAAAAATATTGATCTACATATAGTATAGGAATATTGATATACATGTAGTATAAAAATATTGATATACATATAGGATATACATATAGATATACAAGTAGTATAAAAATATTGATATACATATAGTATAAAAATATTGATATACATGTAGTATAAAAATATTGATATACATATAGTATAAAAATATTGATATACATGTAGTATAAAAATATTGATATACATATAGTATATATACAAGGATAAAAATATTGATATACATATAGTATAAAAATATTGTATAAAAAAAAATATTGATATACATATAGTATAAAAATATTGATATACATATAGTATAGGAATATTGATATACAAGTAGTATAAAAATATTGATATACATATAGTATAAAAATATTGATATACATGTAGTATAAAAATATTGATATACATATAGTATAAAAATATTGATATACATGTAGTATAAAAATATTGATATACATATAGTATAAAAATATTGATATACATAGAGTATAGGAATATTGATATACATGTATAAAAATATTGATCTACATGTAGTATAACGATATTTTACAGTTCGCTTTTCTTTATTTTTCAGTTACTGGTGTAAAGTTTTCAAAGAACATAAATCTAAAGAATAATATTAATGTGACTCTGCAAATGTTGATGTGATATATGAATACATTATTTCAGCTTTATTGAATACTAGTGTTGGGTGCTCATAGTAATCTGCTCTCCTAGTGGGTATTACCGTAAGTGTTTTTCTATGATTGACTCTGTGTTTTTGTAATTTTGTAACTATTGTACCATATCACTGAATGAATTTCTAAGAACTGTTGTTAACAATTTTATATAAAAACTGTTGTCATGTTGGGACCACAGTAACTGAGGTGTTTAAAGTAAGATTCTAATTCTTTCAAGATGTAACTCGTCATTTGATTGGTCAATGATAATAATTTGCAATGATGTATCCATGACCTACCATCTGCAAATTAGTTATTTGCACATCTAGAATAGATGACAATTGTTAATGAAGTCATTGACCTTGATTGACATCCAACAAGTCACGGAAATGAGGATGGGAACAAAAGCTTACCCCGAGAGGTTGTCTGTTGTTAAATATTTCTGGAATCAGGAATCCTGAGTAAAATGATATAGATTTCTACAATTATGCATAACACAGCAGTATATTGCAGTTTTTGGTTTCATTCTATATCAATTAGAATAGGATGTTGCAATCATCCATTTCATTGTTACAGGTAAAAATGCTATAGCAAATTTCAAAAGCGAGGGTTATCCCCTAGATATTTTGATGATATAAAAAAAATTTTAAAAAAAACTTCGGTAACTTTCTCCTGAAAACAAATTTTTTTGTATGACAGACTTTCACGGCAAACCACAAGTGTGCATGTATATATTACCAGCTAGTCCAATATTTATTATATTTTTTTGTATATTTGTTTTAAAACATTGGTGAAGTAATCCCCAAATTTCAGGAAAGTAGGATAAGAAAATGTAAAAAACATATTTCATTATGCCTTGGGGTTGTTAAAATTAGGTCAATGACAGAAACAATACAGGTATCTGATATAATTCCTAGATCTTACTCTGTTGTTTATCATTCAGTGCAATTAAAGAAGAAATGAATGTTTATTGGACACAATATTATAACTGAAGTCATATGTTTAATATGTTAACTTGTTTTCATTTTTATCTAAGAAACATTGCCTGTCTTTTTATCTACAGTAGTATATGCCATGTTAACTAACCACAGGTAATTTCAAGTCTACTCCCATTTTTGGAGTAATTTCTGTTTTTTTTTTTTTTTTTTCTTTCTCGTAATCTTTACATTTTCTTCCAATGAAGGTATATATTTATTAAAATATAGCCTTTTTCCTTGATGACCTTTCAACTCTAGCAAAGGTCATCAATTAGGATAAATCTCCTTAAAACAGTGCAATTACATGTAATATTCATAGAATATTGTCTACAAACATGTGGAATAAAAAGGCCAACAGTAAGAAATTTTTTGCTGTATATGCAAGATTGCACATCAGTATAGGAACAATAAATTAAAGTATGCTATTAACATTATGTGAATTTAAATTTGAAGTGGCATTTTAAGTTATTTAATACTGTATGTAGCAAGGCAATTTATTTATAAGTTCAGCTTGATGGCTTCACATACAAAAATAAGGACAGATGTAAAACTGTTTTTCTCGAAAGTAAAAGAAAAAAAAATTTGAAGAGACTTTGACAGGCATTTCCTACCAGTTTTTTTGCTGTAATGTTCTTCAGTTTTCACATTTTTTGTTATATTTTGAAATGTCCTTCACTGTTATTATCGTTGGGTTATCTCCCTTAGAAAAACAAACTATCATCTTAATTAGTTACTCATTGTAAATAAAAATATTTATTATGAGAGGGAAACGTGTTTGTTTAATAGCAACTACATATACTTGCTTGATTTTAATTAATTAGGGTTTTGTTCCTCATCAGGCTACCGATCAACCAATCAGATGACATGAATTTATTGTTAGCTAATCAGCTAGTTTATGGAACAAATCTAATTGTAATTCAATCAACAATTCACTATGGTAAAGGCAAGACATCATGTATGGTCTCGTTGTCATTACCTATTTTGTCTAACCTGTAAGTTACGGTAAAGACACCACCAACATGTTTGTTTCACAGTTTCACAATGTTTCTCCTTGTTCCTGGATATAGTAATGGTGAAATACCTAATCTTACTGTTATCAGTGAAATGATGAACAAAACATATGAAGTAGAACAGAGTTTTGTTTCTCAATCTTTAAATCTTCAAGTATTTTAAGTGAGCTTTAATTTAACCTCTAGTCCAGTCTCCTATTACTTTATAGACTGTTAATTTTTTTTTTTCATTTTCAAAGTAGATAGGGTTTTCACAAGAAATATCTGGTAACTGAATCTAGAATAATTTCATGTTCGCATTTCTGGATTTCAAATGTTTACGATCATCTATCAAATACCAAATTTTAGCCATACAAGTAGTGACATGACTCCTCTGCAGTTTTCAATTGGAAAATATCATATTTTTGTTTTTTCAGTATAGCCTAATAGTAAAACTTGATTCTATAAAGGTTAATTTTAGAAAGAAT